CCCCAAAACCCCAAAACCCCAAAACCCCAAGGTTGGAATATTCATATGATAAAAGAAAAAATAAAAATGCAAAAAAGTTTAATTTACCAATAACAATCGATTAGATCACTGATCTAAAGTTTTAAGTCAGATAGCGGTGCATATATGAAGTATTTAGAGTAAACCTTTCAAAAACTCATAAATACCAAAGAACTTAATATCTTTAGCAGCTAAGATATTAAACAGATAGTAATTGAAAGTTCAAAGGTAACAAAAGCTTATTCTAATGGCAATAATTGACCTCTTGAGGGGATTTTATTTGGAATAAAAGATAATATTGATGTCGCTTAAAGCAAGACTACTGGTGGCTGCAAGGCGTTTGATAATCATTTCTCTTAATTCGATTGCTCCTTATGGTCCAAATTAAAACTAAATGGAGCCCTGAATGGGGGCAGAACTATAATGCATGAACTAGCTTATGGTACTACTACAATGAATGAGCATTATGGATATGTCAGGAATCCTTATGATACAAGCAGAACAGCAGGAGGATCTAGTGGTGGTTCAGGCGCTCTAGTGGGTGCTGGTATATTTCAAGCTGCTTTAGGCACTGATACTGGTGGATCAATTAGAATACCTGCAGCCTATTGTGGAGCAGTGGGTTATAGACCTACCATAAATTGATGGCCTGTTGATTTAGGTATGAAATTAACACACCTTCGAGATTCAATTGGACCAATAGCTGGGTGTATGGATGATATAGCTTATCTTGACGAGATAGTCAGTGGCTAGACTCATATTTAAAATGTTGATAATCCTAAAATAGTGAGATTAGGAGTGCCTAGCAAGCACTATTTTGATAATTTAGACACTTCAGTTTCTATTTAGATTAAGAGCGCAATAGATAATCTGAGAAGTAAAGGTATGCAAATTATTGAAAGTGATTCAATCGATTACGAATTTGAAAACATTTTAAAGGCAGTAGGCATTGTATTAGAACATGAATTTCCATAATGCCTGGATTAATACTTGAAAATGCATAGACTAAATCTTACAATGGATGATATTCATAAGTAAATTTCCTCTCCAGATCTATTAGAGGATTTTGCTTAATGTATTCTAAATCCATAGCATGATAAAACTAGGTTAGATTATGAGATAGCAGTATTTAAGACTCGATAGGAATTAATTAATGCTACAAGTGCATATTTTGAAAGAAATAAATTGGATGCTATGATTTATCCTACAAGCAAAATCATGCCTTTTAAATTTGAAGACTATGATAAAACAGATATGACTATTCCTCATAATGGCCAGAGAGTCAAGTAAATTGGTATATCCATTGAAAATACTGTACCTGCTTCATTTACAAATAGCCCTTGCATATCTTTACCAATATCTTTCAATGATACTGATTTTCCAATTGGCTTAGAAAATCAATGCCAAAATGGAGAAGACTAGAAACTTATTGCTATATCTAAAATGATTGAATAAATCCTTAGAAATTGAATAGAATCTATCTTAATTTGCTTTTGTTTATTCATTACTTGATTTACTATAATACCACTATATCATACTAATGGGGTTTTGGGGTTTTGGGG